AATCCTGGATTCTCCCTAAAGCCTCAGTTAACTTTTGGGCTGTCCCAAAGGTTTTTCTGCAAGAATCTTAATGCTACCACAGATAAAATTGGGACTTCTGCCAGATTGAACAACACAACTCACTTTTGCTGTAGTCCCACACTCCCCACCTTTCAGGATGACAACTTCATGCTTTCCTTATTTGGCTGTATGCCAGGTAGTCATTTGTGTGCTATCTCACAATGACCCTTGGCATTGGGCTGAAACAGTGGTTTCCATCAATCATAATGTAGAGAATGGAACAAATCTATTTGGCTACATTAGTAGAGAAAGTCCTAATGCCTCTAAGAAATTCAGATATCATGGATACTTAGAATTTTGAGTGGCATTACAAAATATTCAAACATTCGTGAACAGTAAGTAAAATAACATAGTTGCTTCTGAGGATATTTCTAATCCATGACTTGTTTATTGGAAGGGACTATGGCTCATATTAAATTTAAGCTTTTGCATGACTAGGACTTCTTACAAAGGATCCACCTCCAACTCAGGTAGTATCTGTTGAATTTAAACATCTGTTTAATTTGTTTCTCTCATCCTCAGCTGTAAATTAGCCAACTCCTGAAAAAAATCAATGTTTTTTTTCAGAGAGAGGTATTTTTAAAGTTCATTTTCTTACTGCTTGGTATATTCCTTTTTTTTAAAAAAATGTTTCTACTGATTTTTTTTTTTTACATGTTTCTACTGATTTTAGAGAGACAGCAAGGGAGAGGGAGAGAGAGAAACACCAATGTGTGAGAGAACATTGATTATTTGCCTCCACCTTGACCGGGGATCAAACCCTCAATCCAGATATTTGCCCTGACCAGGAATTGAACCAACTGAACCACACTGCCAGGGCGACCCTCTGAACACTTTGAAGTAAGTATCTACTATGTGTTTGGCATGACATCAAAGTAGTCAATAAATTAAGAGCAGTTTTGAGAGTCTTCTGTTGATTTGGAACTTTTAATGACCAATTTTGCAATAATAGAGCTTCACTTTTCAGATTGTGAAGTGTTTTAGAGAGTAATCAGGCAAAATAAAGTGCTTTTTAGGGAAAATATTTCAATGGACACATTATACAATTCAAGCTCTATATGTGTTACATTTAACTAAAAGAGCAAATTATAAAATTATCGAAATAGTTCAGTCGCACTAGAGCCATCAAAATGTTACAAATGAGAAACTAAAGTAATAGTTATAAAGTGTTCAGACTCCTCATAGTGGAAGAATTACAGGCAATTATTTGAAAGCCTCACATCTACTGTTTCCTTCAGTTGAAAATAACAGTAGAAAACTAATAGCATTTAGAGATCTTGACAATTTAGCAATCTGTTCATCCTTAATTTAAAAATATTTATTACCTTGTGACTTCTAATACTGTATTGAAAGATGTCTATGCTGGTGCGAAAGGAAGAGAAAAATATGTCTTTTGAATTTCAACTATCTTAAGAATGATAAGGTTACTAACTTTTCATTGAAAGAACTCATGGAGGACATGTAAAACCAAAGATCAAAAGAGGGGTTAAGGAGAGAAAGATAATTATTTGAGGCTTTTAAAAATACTGTCATGTTTCTAATAATTTTGAACTTTCATACTTCTTAAGATATATATATATTTAAAAATATTTCTTATTGTTGATAGTATTATAGATATCTCCCATTCTCCCCTTTTTCCTCCTTCTCCTAGACCCTATCCACCCCCTTTAAGGTATATTAATAATTTATTAAAATTCAGTAAACAGGCAGTCCTACTAAACCAGGGGTGGGCAACCCCTGGCATGCGTGCCAAACATGGCACGCCAGTAACTTTTGCTGGCACGTGAAACCCTCTCTTATAATCTTCCATTTACATTTTTTTTCTTAATATCGACTTTTTTATTTTTCAGATAAATTCAGTGTAGGTGCATTTAGATAAATAAATAATTTTACATAACAAGTTATCTTAACCCCTAGAGTGCCGGGGAGCGTGATCCCGCTCCTCCTGACTTTTGCCAAAAGTGCCGGGAGCGCTATCAAAGCTTCGAAATGGCGTCCAGTTCTAAGTCTGCTTTTATTAGTGATGATGACATTGCTAAATATGTCAATGTAGTAAAGGTTTCCTTAAGTTTTTGAATATGTAACTTCATTTACTTGCGATTCATAATTTTTTTCCTAAACGGCTGTAAAATCAGCAAAAATGCCTTGGCAATTTTAGCATAGTTCTTAGGATATTTGTTGGCACTCAAAGGGTTAAAGACCATAGACATGGATTGATGAGAGAGGGGAAGAGCAATTTCTATGCCTCTGCCTTAACTCTCCCTGCCTTCCTAGATCCGACCAGTGTTTTGGTTTCATCCACATACGCTTGTGAATCTTTGTTCTCAGTGATGAATTTTGTTAAGTCTCATAATAGGAGTAGCCTGACAGATGAAAGTAGTAGCTCGTGCATATCTCTGAAGTTCATGAAATATAAACCTGATGTAAAATCTCTGTCATCAGTGATGCAGCAGCAAAAGTTCCACTGATAATATCAAATGGAGTCATAAAGTTTTCTGTTGGACTATCAGTGTACATGTATACATTAAAAAAATAAATGTATTTTTCATCATCATATACTGTGTTTTTGTCGCTCGAATGAATTTTATTATGTCTTCAAGGTTCTTCACATACATACACCTTAAGAGGTATCAAGTAGGCGTAACATGTTCTCAAAAAATTAGGGTTGGCATGCAGAAGAATTTTGAGTCAGAGATTTTGCTGGTTTTGGCACGCACACACAAAAAGGTTGCCCAACCCTGTACTAAACCATGAATATTTAAAATCTATCAAGTTGATGGTTTTCCTCAACAGCATTTCAAAATAAAAATGCTCATGCACAGACTTTTGTAACTAACATTCCCCTAAATATATAGGCCTGCCTCATACACATTCTTATACATAAACTAGAGGCCCAGTGCTCGGATTTGTGAACCGTTAAGGTTCCTCGGCCTGGCCTGCGCCCTCTCGTAATCCAGGACCAGGGGATGTTGGATAGCCGATTTTGGCCCAATCCCACAGGCCTGATCCAGACAGGAGGGAGCCCAATCCTGTGCGTTGAGCATCTGTCCCCTCGTGGTCAGTGTGCGTCATAGCAACTGGTCCACTGGTCGTTTGGTCATTCGGTCGCTTAGGCTTTTATATATATAGACTAGAGGCCCAGTGCACGAATTTATGCATGGGTGAGGGCTGACCAACCCCAATTGGGGCCGATCGGGCTGGGCCAGCCAGGGGGAGGGGCTATGGGCAATTGGCAGGCCTGCCCCACCCCTGATTGGAGCTGGGGGGCTGATTGGGGGTGGGGCTGGCTGGGGGAGGGGCTGGCTGGGGGAGGGGCTGCAGGGGGTCGGCTGGGGGGAGGGGCCATGGGTGGTTGGCCGGCTGGCCCCACCCCTGGTCAAACTCCTGGTTGAACTTCCAGTCAAACTCTCAGACAAGGGGACAATTTGCATATTAGCCTTTTATTATATAGGATAGCTGCTCCAACCAGCTGACCAAAGGAGCGCCCATCTTTGGCCACTGAGGATTTCCTTCAAGTCTCTTCCATCCTAATGTGTATAGTGTCTTCCTTTGGTCCAACCTCTTCCTCCCCCTCTTTTTTTTCCTCCAGAAAGGAAAGGAAGGACATAAAGAATGGTAGGGCTGGGCCAGTGTGGCTCAGTAGTTGAGCATTGACCCATAAACCAGGAGGTCACAGTTTGATTCCTGGTCAGGGCATATGCCCGGGTTGCAGACTCGATCCCCACTGGGGGGCATGCAGGAAGCAGCCAATCAATGATTTTCTCTCATCATTGATGTTTCTCTCTCTCTCTTTTTCTTTCTCTCTCTCTCTCTCATCTTCCTCCCTGAAATCAATTACAAATATTTAAAAAAGAATGGTAGGAAGCAAGATTGGGAAGAAGTGGAGTAAAATAAGGGATTAAGAGCCCTGTTTAAGGCTATTGAAATCTCCAGAGTAAGGACAGCAGAGATTTTTCAGAAGCAGGTCTTATGATCAGAAATTGATGTGTAGGTTATTTTTTTAAATGTTGAGTAGAAAGGATCTGTACCAGGTTGTAACTTATAAGTACATAGAGAGCCTGTGGAGGTTGTATTCACATTTAATTTCTGGCTTTCTTTATCACCCTAAAGTTTTCTGATGCCACTTAATGCAATTAAATTTGATTAGGTCAAAGGCAAATAGTTTCAATTATCATCAAATTATAATTACCAATTGATTCAAAGCTGAGAGTATTAAACAATGATGGTAGCAGGACAGGTTATGTGGCTTAGGATAAACATTTTAAAATAAAATGTCAGGTGGTCCACCATGGGATCAGACAGGCCAGATGTGAGCATGGGCAGCACGTCGGATGTTCAGGCAATGATTGCAGTTAGAATTGGGGGTGGTGGCCAAACTTTACCTGTGGTTTGACAAACAGGGGTAAGCACCAGAGGAGGACCAGATTCCTCTGCCATGCTAATTCTGATTTTCTCACAGAATTTTTATCTTCTGTGGTTTAAAGTTCTATGATTCTGTTAGTGAAAAACTTTACAAACATGATGAATTAAAGAGATGTCAGTCAACTGGCCCTGGCATTGAATCATAATTTAATTATTCTGTTCCTAGGAGAAAATGTCTTCCTAAGTAAGTGGCCTACAAATAAACATTTGGACACAACTGATTAGAAATTGTCTGAATAACTTTCTTTATAAATATATACAATTGTGAACAAAAGGCAAAAACAAGTTTCCTTTCAAAGAGAATGCTTGCATTTATTTATTTTTATTCTTAGGATTTGTCAAGTACTGCAGTGAATTCTTTTTCCCAGGGCTGAAAAAGTTTCTAATTGGCTTTATAGTTAGCTAGCTTATTAAAGCACAGTAAAAATCTTAACATTTTTTTCCAACCTTTTTTTTGTTCCCTGCAGTAAAAGACTGTTTTTCTAATTAAAATTGTCAATAAGAAACTCACTTCTTACCTTGTCAGAAGGTTTAAATGGATTTCCTTGTCCGCTAATTCCACCACTGATGCTAAATCCAAGGCCAGGATTCTTTTCTATTCGCACACAAAACTATGTAAAAAAGATAAAAAGGTAATAAAATGCATAGAAAAACTAAATATCTTCAAATAACTGCATCCCAGTAGGAAAAATTCACATTTCACTTAAGTTCTCAGTGATAGTTTATATTAACTTGGTACACAAGACAGGTATAAACTCTGACAAAATAGTATTTAGTACTTCTATAGGCATCAGTTATGAACGAAACTAGCTTGAAATTACCTGGCAAGCAAACATTAGTAAGTATTCATTCATTACTGTGTGCAAGACTAAATTTTGATTAACAGCTTTTAAAAATTAAAAGCCTTATAACAAAAAGATTGTGAATTATTTAAATTATCTACTTTAAATGCACACATATTCTAACTAATTTGAAAAGATGTATAAGTAAGTAAAAGAAAATTTGCAAATGTAGAGTTAGGGGAAAACATGGCTCTTTAAGTTGCTACCACTTCCTAGTTGAGTAGTACAATTCATCTCCTTGGTAGATAATTCCTTTGTTTAGAAACTGCGGGACTTTTAGCTTGAGAAAAGGGAGAACTTTTGGCCATAGCTTGAGTTTGGGTTAAACAAAGAAAAAAGGAAATATTCAGTAAAAAGAGTTTTGGATTTAGCAGCAGTTTCTGGAAAAGTTATTAGGGGTCTTGGAGAAAGAGAACACTGAAAAAGAAAGAGGTCAAGAACGTGGAGAAACCACTTGTGACAGGGAATAGTCAAGAAATATCTAGGACTGGAGGGCTAATAGTTTAGTATTCTGTGCTACATTACCTTCCCAAACCCAAAACCATCAATGAAAGTCTGTTAAACACAAGATCCTTGTGCTTCATAGAGCTATGGGAAAACGATGGCATTGGGAGCAGGTCCACCTTGAGATAAGACTGTAGTAAGGATGATAGTCACTATAAGAATTGATACAAAGAATGTAGGTCAAGAATTCCATTGGAGGGAAATGAGTACCAGGAATGATCTAGAAAAACTACTTTATAACAAACTTAGGAATTCTTGCTGATCATGGGTTGGGGATGTGTGTGTGGTCTGTAGTGAAAATGCTAGTTTTCTATGAGTAATGAGATTGGGGCCCCCAGATGACTGAAAGACATAGAACCCACAGTTGGCAAAAACTTTGGTTGCGTAAAGAAAGAAAACTATTTATTTATTTATTTATTTATTTATTGTTTAAAGTTTTACATATGTTTCCTTTTTCCCTGATTGACCCCCCCCCCGCCACTTCCACCCCTGAGCACAAGCCCCCACCGCCTCAGTTTCTGTGTCCATTGGTTATGCTAATATGCATGCATACAAGTTTTTTGGTTGATCTCTACCTCTCCCCCTCCCCTGACCCTTGTCTCTGTATCTATTTTTGTTCATCAGTTTATGTTGATCATTGTATCTCACATATGAGTGAGATCATGTGGTATTTATCTTTCTCTGACTGGCTTATTTCGCTTAGCATAATGCTCCAGTTCCATCCATGCTGTTGCAAATGGTAAAAGTTCCTTCTTTTTTATAGCAGCATAGTATTCCATTGTGTAGATGTACCATAGTTCTTTAATCCATTCATCTGCTGATGGGCACTTAGGCTATTTCCAAATCTTAGCTATGGTGAATTGTGCGGCTATGAACATAGAGGTGCATATGTCCTTTCTGATTGGTGTTTCTGATTTCTTGGGATACATTCCTAGAAGTGGGATTACTGGTTCAAATGGGAGTTCATTTTTAACTTTTTGAGGAAACTCCATACTGTTAAGAAAGCTCTTTCTTAAAGATGATTGGAAATGTTTATTTTCTTAAATAGTTTGATGTTTTCCCCAGCAATCTTGCATAGCCTATTAATTTGCTTATGGGCAAATGCAAATGCCCAAAATGCTCTCTATATTTTTATTTTTGAGGTATCTTTAATTGCTAACTCTTAGATGGTTCAAGGCAAATTTGAGCCTTATTCCTGACTTAATCAGCATATTGTGAGTCTTTAGGAGCTAGGTCAATTAGGCTTGGCCATTTAATGGAACTATTCTTAATTTACTGTCATATTTCATAATAATGAATAGAACATTTAAGTATTACACAGTTCACTTGTAACACAAAGGCAAAAACTATCTGCTAATGTAACTTTTATGGTAGAGTCAGTAATGAATAGTTTCTAAATTATGGGAAACTGCAATTGCCAGAAGTACTCTCTAAGATTTTTATTTTAAAGATACGTTTAATTACAACTTTTCCTTGAATTGAGCTAGATTTCTTAAAAACTGGTTATCACGCTGTGATAGAAAGTACAGTTTATAACAGTTTTGTATTTATAAGGCTCACAGTCTGTGAATATGAACTTATGATAACTTGATGCAGCTCCAAGGAATATTTTAGCTTTATTCAATATACCAGTTTACCCTGTATTCCTTTTTGGGTTGTTATTGGTTAACTAGAGGCCCGGTGCACAAAATTCGTGCAGGGGAGGGGTCTCCCTCAGCCTGGCCTGTGCCCTCTTATAGTCTGGGACACCTCGGGAGATGTCTGCCTGCCAGCTTGTGGCTGGATGGCCTTCTGCAGCTGCATGGCCTGCTGCTTGAGCTTCAGCAGCTGCTGCATGTGCACGGGCTGGGACACAGGGTCTGTCCTATGAACACCATCGAGTGGGTGAGTCAAGTGTGGAGGCAGGCTCACCCTGAATTCCCTGCACTTCCCTGAGTCACTGAGTTGTTCAGACTGACTGCCTTCTACAGAGAACAGCACCAGGATCAGGCCTTAGCCGGCAGTCGGACATCCCTCTTGCAGTCTGGGATCCCTTGGGGGAGGTAGCAGTGCGCCAAGTGGCAGGTGGCCAGGGAGAAGCCTGAATTCGGGCCAGGTGCCACGCCACTCGCGCTCATCCTGCCTGCCGAGCCTGCTGCTGCGTCTCAGTAGTGCTGCTGCGCAGTCGGGAGAGGCTCCCACATGGCAGCTGCGCTTGCCAGCCCTGAGCCTGGCTCTGATTGAGCGCACTGATCGCCAGGGGGTAGTTCCTGCATTGAGCATCTGCCCCCTGGTGGTCAGTGTGCATCATAGCGACCAGTCATTCTGGTCGTTCCGCCGTAATGATCGCTTAAGCTTTCATTACTAGTATATAGATTAGACAATGAGAAGAATGGAACTTACATGATTTAAATATATTACCTTTGTGTTTTCCCATATTTCTGTGCATTTCTAATTAAATTATTTAAGATTTAGGTTATTTCTTTCTAATATAAAAATTTTATATTGCACAATGTAATATATAGAAGGTATATTTCCCCAGGCCACTAAAAACCTGAAAGGAAACATATGCAACATATTTACTTATAAAGTAAATTGTTGCGAATACTTCCTAGTCCTTCTCCTGCAAGGTAGTGACTATATCCATTTTATATTATTGTCAATCTGAAAGGCACTAAAAATCTAAGGAAATAAATTTCACATGTGCCAAGTAGATGAAGAACTGCCTCAATATATTTTTTAATATTAGAAATAATAAAGATGACACTGTGATTTTATAAATGTGACAACCATAAATTCTTATCTGAAGCCAGGCTACCCTTGGGCATATTGTGGTATGGCTAATAGGTTGTGTTGTGACTGTTGTGTCCCATAAAGCATGTCAGAGAGAGTATTCATCTCACATATAAAGAGTTCCACCTGCCTGGGAAGGCCCAAAGGGGCCATGAAGAGATGAGAGAATATCTCACAGCCAAGAAACAGAAACTGAAGAGAATTATCAAAGGGGAAATGCAGTGTTCTAGCAAAAAGTCAGATCTAGGAGGCTAATAAGTAGCTTATTTAGTGAGAGTCAGCATTTCAATTTTTTATTAAGATATTGAAAACAATGAATGAAGATATAAGCAGCAGCCGGCAGTCAGTGGTGCATTTGCTTCTTTCAGAGTCTGTTTTCATCATGTGACTTCACTTGAAACTTCTGGTCTGTGCCACAACAGGCAGTATCTTAGATCATGCACTAATTTATTTTATTTTTAAAAATATTTTTAAAATTAATTTTATAGAGGAAGGCAGAGGGAGCGAGAGATAGAAACATCAATGATGAGAGAGAATCTTTGACTGGCTGCCTTCTGCATGCCCCCCAGTGGGGATCCAGCCTGAAACCCAGGCATGTGCCCTGACTGGGAATTGAACCATGATCTCCTTGTTCATAGGTCGACACTCAGCCATTGGGACACACTGGCTGGGTTTGTTGCTAACTTAATAGGAAGGTTTAGACAAAGAATTTGGGCTTTGGGTTAGATAAACCTGGGTTAAAATTACAGCTTGACCAATTATATTTTTCACAAGTTACTTATTTTCTCTGTACCCTGGATTATTCATTTGTAAAAAGAAAATAACATTACTGTGAGGATTAAATGAAAGAGTATGTATAAGCAGTATCAGCTATATAATTGTCGGGGCCTGGTGCAAAATGTAAATGTGAGGCTCTTTGTTCAAAGATTATTAAGAATTAAAAGTTGGAGACAGCAGAGCATTAAACCAAATGTGGGGCTCTTGTAAGTGCAGGCCTTTTTTCATACTTAAGTGCCTTCTTTAACATAACTATAGAGTGTTTCAGTTTTTACTTCTCAGTTTGAAAGGCACCTGATATTTTTAGAGGGGTGAGTCAAAACACTTGCAAGCGACTCTAAATACAAACTCTGAATCATGATGTTTTACATTTAATAAGCAATACCCTGGCTGGTGTGGTTCAGTTGGTTTGGTCCCGTGCACCAAAATGTTGCTGGTTCAATTCCAGGTCAGGGCACATGCCTGGGTTTTGGACTCAATCTCCAGTAGGGGGCATGCAGGAGGCAGCCAGTAGATGCTTTCCTCTCACATGGATGTTTTTCTCTCTCTTCTTCTCCCTTCCTCCCCTCCCTGCCAAATAAATAACTTTAACAAACACATAGTCAAACTATACAATGTTTGTGTTATTGGAGGGATAATGCAAAAATAGTCTTTAAATTTAGAGTGTTCAGAGTAAGTGCACGCTAATACTAAACTTACTATTCAAGGTAGGTGAAAATAGAGGGCATTGATCTCGATGAATTTTTAAAAATATAAATCTTTATTGTTTCAGTGAATTTTTAAATGCATTGATTCTCACAGAAAACAAACACATAGCTGCTATTAGGACTAACCAAGTCAGAGAATGAAGCTGAGGTTATAATATTTGTGAGGGAGAAGATATGAGCAATTTTTAACCTTCTAGATGTCTTTAATAAAGCATAATTTAAAACTTCATTAACTTTTTAGAATCTCTGAAGAATTAAAAGCCTCACATCATTACCTCATTAAAGGCACCTGTCTGATATATTTTCCCTTAAATCAAACACTTGGCCTAGATCAAGGAGGGATAGAGAAAAAATTATTTTTAAAAATATCTATAATTCCGAGAATGATTAATACATAATCTCAGCTTTAAGAGGGTATTAAGAAATAGAGGACCTGTCTAGACCATTGAGATCCAAATAATAAATGGCTCTTAACAACAGAAAGGGAAAAACTAGAAAATGAAGATAATCTTGTCTGATACATTCAGAAAATAAGGTGGATAATATGTGAAACTTTGAGTTAATAATAAAGTGAAACCTTTATATACCATATTAAAGTATTAGTGAAGTCAGTGGGCAAAGTCAGCTTTGCCTAATTATCTGAATTATCACAAACGATACATTAATTTTATATGAACATTAAGATCTTAATGTCTTACTTTTTAAGCTTAATGTAACTAAGTAGGTGAAATCTTATTCTGTGTTCTGGTCCAAAGGAAGAAAACAGGTCTTTATAATGGAAAAGCAAATTCTACTTTTAGATAGGTCAGAAGAGTAGCAATTCTTTTTGTGCTACATGGCATTTATCAGTATCTTTTGGAGCATTTCAGAAATGTTTCCCTTCTGTTGTTTTTAATTTTCTTCATAGCAAACTTTATCTCTGTACTATTCAATAGTCAGAAGATAGGACTTTTAAAAAACGATGCCACAAATAGAGAGGAATATACAGTTTATGTTTCACACAGTCAATTTCACCAGAGGCCTTGGTAACCACACCTAGTCCATTAAAGCTCTTTGTAAGATCCCAATGCCGTGCTGTAGAGTTAAATTGGAGTAGGGAGTGGGGAGAGGAGGGTGTAGGATAAACCAGAAAAAAAACTGTTCCGATCCATCAGTTTTGCTTTATGTAAAATGGGCATTTTACCAATCATCAATTCCTATAGGTAGGTGTCTTTAACCACTAAAAATAATGATAAAATAGTGTGTTGCACTCTACTCAACATGGTGACAGCATTAATGTGTCCCAGACTACATTAACGAGGGAAGACAAACCATGGATTCACTGGGATTTCCTGAAAATTCATCAGTTGTGAAATCTCTTCTCACCTGCTCTGGATAGCCATCCATACTCCTTTGCCCTTTAGTTTGAATTAAGCACCGTCCAGGCTGAGGTCCCCGGGTGGCCTGTGAAGAGGGGATCTGAATAGGCAATGGTGACTGGAACTGCTGGATGGTCACTTTGTTTATATTTCCCTCATATGGCTGCTGCTCCCGGCTACGATGCTGAAGGCTTTGGGACCCCATCAAGGTCTGGATATGGCTGCCTGCCTGTGGAGAAGATAATCTGTCAGATGACGATTTGTGGTGTTGAAAGGATGTGATTAAAGTAGAAAACACGTACAGATACCTCTTTGGTAAAGTGGCATCATTTGGGCTTGCAGCCATGGCTGGAAAAGATAATGAAAAGACAGCAAGGGGCCGCCTACTGTGGTCTGTGAAAATGTTAATATTGGAGCAAGGTTGCATTAAATACATTCGCAGTCAGCTGGTGGTTTGCCAAAGTTTATTTTAACTCCAATTTTAAGGGAACAAAATTCAGTCCAAGAAAAAGAAGTCACTACTTAAAAATAAAGTCAGGTTCCATATGGCATTTTATTTTGAAATACACCAGGGAGAGAGATGTAATATATGGAACCTTTATGCCACAAGTGCTTAGTGATATTGCTTACATGAGTGTAGTCAATATTTATTGATTTTCTGCATTTTTAAAATCAAGAGTATTACTTAAAGAAAACTAAAAAAATTGTGTTTTGACATTCAAAAAAAATTAAAATGGAATCAACAGTATGGTTTTGGGAATCTTTAAGTTACATTAAAAATTAATCATGAGATAAATTCTTGTGAGTATCGATAGTCTGTGGAGGCACTAGATCTGGAAAGGTCTTCAGAGTGAACTCTGTAAGGAGATCACCTCATGTTGAGCTTTCAGAGATTCATCAGTAAAGTGATCATCTCTTAGTCCTTAAAGGCAGTTATGGAGGCCAGAGGGCATGCTCACTCTGGTCTCCCATCTTTGAATGATACGGTGCGAACCCCTGCTCCTTTGTTCACTCCTATTTTCTCACCTTCTTTCTAGTATCAGCTCCTTCAGTCACTCTACCTGATATTTTTTCTACCAAGCAACCAGATCTGTTTGTGAGCTGGTAATCGAGAATATCTTTTAATATCAGGTAGGGCTTAACATGGAGGTTTAACATGAGAAATGAAAGCTTATCATAAATATTTTTAAGCATATGTATTAGGATAGTGCTGTGGTCGGTACTTCACTCATCATTATGGAAGGATCTGAGGGTTTACTTCACGAATTCATTTTCTTTCTTGTTGATCTTTTAAGGTTGGGTAATTTGGAACTCAAAAATGAATTTCACCTTAGAATTCATTAGCTAAGAAAGCCTGTGAATTTTCCTGCCTAATCAAGATTTTGATTACTATGAAAAGGTCAGGTTGGAGGAATAAAAGAATAATTTTAAGCAAGTAGTCAATGAAGAGGTTAATTTTATTTTTTTAAGAGACATCAGGAAATGACAGTGATCATGGAAAATCATTTGAAGGAGATGAAAGGCATATTTCTTGATTCCAAACAAGAGGTAATTGAGTGAAGAAAATACTCAAAAATTATTATTTGGCCATATGTAGAGCAAAGGAAATAACCATTTGATTATATTTTTTTAGGTGTTTAACTGGTTCTCTTGGTATCATGTACAGTTTTTTACATCAAAAACCAGCAAAGATATTTAGTATGAGAATCTTGAGGAAAAGATGGAAAAAAAACTTTCAGGCTATTCCAGCATAGTGAAAAACAGTTAGCAATCCAGCACTGGCCAACACAATTAACCAGCGACCACAACACTACAACACCAGCACAACTGAGATAACCACGTAGAGGGCAAATGTGTATTTCTTGATGAAATCTATTCCCTTTTCAGCCATCCTAGAAGACTGAACACCCCTCTGGTCAAGTTTTTCCTTATTGCAAATTGAATTCTCTCCTACCTCTGTGGAATTTCACCTTCTCTTGTATGGGAGGAGAGAAAAGCCATGATAAACACAGTATCACACTGTGAGCTGCTAAGTCACCGGCATGCTGAGTTAGTTAGAGAAAAGTATTTCCTGGAGTTCGAGGAGCTGGGAGTATAGGCTGGCTTAGGCTTACTGTCCTGGCTTCTGAACAGTCCATTGGTTTTACATTTATACCTGCTTCTCACCTCCACTAGCATAATATTCATGGATCTTCAGTCAGTGCTTGAGTCAGTGGACACACAGGAAGTGATCACATAGACAAAGCATTTTTAACACCCAGAAAAACTTAGAGAGATATGGCATATAGCTAGAGTTCCAAAACATGTAATCTGCCTGAGAAAAATCAATAATGACCGCTTAACAATCACTTCATTGATTAGAATATTCTGGTAATGGTCTATCCATGGTTACAAAATTAATTCTATATATTATAGAACTGTAATAGTCTTTAGATTTTTTTTTGGTTTATTTTTTCCTTCTGATGGGACAGTTTGAGCTCAGAATTTTGTTTCGATTTGGAACTTGAGGGCAAACACCATATCCTACTTGCCATCTTTAATGACTGGCATTTCATAAATAATAGCTGTCATCCAAACACTAGGTGCCAAGCAATGTGCTAAAACTTACATGTATTATCTCCTTTAATCCTTGTAACAGCATTAGAGATAATTATTATTATCCAATTATATTGAGGAGAAAACTGAAGCTTGGAGAGGTTAAGTAACTTTCCCAAGTCATCTGCCAACCGGTAAACTGGCAGGACCAGGATCTGAACAAAGGCTGTCTGACTATGACTATCATAGTGAATTGAAAAGGAGCCATGTAAAGGAACAGAGGATCAGGTTGTTGAGGATGAATATATTAAAATCTTTAGCAGCTCTTTAATTTGCCAAAGGGCCATTCCTACTTACTGATTTAGGTCTATCACCTATTTTAGATCCTATGTATGGGACTTAGAGCTGTATAGTTAAGCAAATAGGCTGATGCTCTGTGCACTTAGCAATCTTTCTATGATTATGAAGTGATGGAGCTGGTGTTCTTATATGGCTTGGAAAAATATAACGTGGGCTTGGAGGAAACATCTGTAACGATTCTGTTCGCATCAGCAGCAGTTTTTTTCAGTCTGTGTTTGGGCTATACACTGCACAGGATGGGAATGACAGCTATAGAAAGCAAAGAATTAACACTAAGCTTTGTGTGAAGTTAAACAGACATACAGGACACAAGATATCTAAAAGAACAATTACGGTGTGGAGAGACGGTGATGAGGAAGTTTTTCTGACTGGCACGAAGGCTTAAAGAAAGGTAATAAGGTGCTCACGGTGAAGTACAAAGGACTGATGAAAATGCAGAAAATGTCAGAGCTGGCATTTATTCAGGCAGAGGGGTTAGCGATGAGAACACTGACTCATACTGAAGGGGAGTTTGAACAAAAAGGTTTCTGTAAAGCCTGTGCTACACATTTTGAATGATAAAAAGAAATAGAGAAGATTTGACATTTGTTTTGAATTTTCAAGGGGAAGTTGGACAAAATAACATGTATTTGAGGAGAATAGTGATGGAATGTGGTGTTTTCAAGTTGACCTGAACAAAATACTGTCAAAGTGTATGTTTACAAGGAAAAACTCCAATATCCATTGGACCCAAGGAAACATTACTGTCAACACCACAGAAAAGAAATGTTGATTTTGCTACCTTTAAAGTGTTTGGGAGGTTTTGTATGATATAAAAGAAATGACTTTCTCATGACAACAATACTTTGGTTCACACTGTTCTCTTAGAAAACGGTGTTAGACTGAGAAGTGTATTACCCAATTTGGTCATTTGTCTTACCACCTATCTTGACTCTAACCATTTTAGGGTTCCTTCCAAAAGTCAAACATAGCCTCAAAGGATGACAATTTATGCCACTGAGAATATGCAACTGGACACAATCAACTTCTAAAATTACGTCCAAAAGAGTCCAAAAACGTTTGGGAGCAATTTCAACACACAGAATCATCTATAAAGGATAATTCAGTCGTTGATTTCAAGATATCAGCAGCACTCATTGAAATGAGTTAGTTTTAGTAATTTTGTAAAACAACAACAAAAAGCCCTGTCCCTTTCTATCTACATCATGAATTCTGTATGTTCTCCTTTTTAACATGCAGGTTAAGTTTTAAAAATTGAGGCAGTAGGACTTCTGCTTCCTGGTAGATTGAGTAGGCATACTTTACTCTATTCTCTCCATGAAGAAAAATAAAAAACCCTGAACATTATATATAAACAAATATAAGAAAATTCTGGAAAATAGACAGAAAACAGCAGATCAGCTAGGGACATAGGGACCAAGTAAATGCATAGTGGTGAATTCATTGAGTTTTATTTTTGTGCCGTATATCCCAGACTTGGAGCTGAAGAAGCAGGTAACCTGAAAATGCCTAAAGGTACAGATAAGAAAAGCCTCAGGAAAAGCCTACCCTGTCTAGCCAAAAGACCAGAAAAAAGGGGCAGAAAACTTTGATAGTGACAGCCCTACTATATATAACCAGTGGGAAAACACTGTAGCCCCACAAAGTCCAAGTGGGGATCCTACACTTCTACCCTCATAAGGATGCAACAAGGCACACCAACACTCCTGCTCGTGTACTATCAGAAAAGGCTACTGCCTTCATCCCCTTTGGCCAGCAGGGAGCCCCTCCCCAACCCCCATGGTGTCACTGGAGAGCACAAGGAGCAAGGACTTACTCTCCCACCCAGCAGTAATGAGGCACCCTTCTACTTTCCCAGTAGGATGGTTAGAGAGGGTCTAGTAATGAGGCTACCTTCCCTGAGGTACCAGTGGAGGCCATCTGGGAACTTAGAACGTTAATTTCCACCTAGCAATAATAATACGTTTTTTTGTGTGCCTCAAATCAATAATTAAAATCCTATCTCAAGAGCCTAGAAAAAGAGAAGCCAAATAAACCCCAAGCAAGAAGAAAGAAGGAAATAATAATATCAGAGATCAATGAAATTGAAAATGAGTAACAGAAAAAAAAAGAAACAAAAAGCTGATTCTTTGGAAAGATCACTTCTAGCAAGATTGAATAAGAAAGAAAAAAGAAAACACAAATTAGCAAAATCAGGAATATTACTACAGACCCTGCAAGCATCATAAGGGTAATAAAGTAATACTACAAATAACGCTACACACAAATTTGACAACTTATATGAAATGGGCCACTTTTAAAGCACAAACTACTGTAACTCACCCAATATGAAAC